GTCTTCACTTTGTCTATCATATCCCCATATGTGTCTTTAGTTACCCTCTTGTGGAGGAGAAGCACTCCCAAGTACTTGCCTAAATCCATAGTTAGGGAAAATCCCAAAGCATTACTAATTCCTTTCTTGCTAGTATTGTTGATATTTTTAGAGTAATAAACTATAGTTTTATTCTTGTTAACTTTTAGGCCGAAGCAGTCCTAAAATTTATTGATGCATTGATTTATAACCTCTACTTCTTAGAATGTCGTCTGTAAAAACAAGTGGGATATAGGTAGCCTTCCATTCTCTAGCTTCCATAGCCATCTGAATAATGTGTGCCAGTTTTTCTATGCAAATGACAAACAAATAAGGTGAAATCGGGTCCCCTTATCGAATGCCTTTAGTTGTGGTAAAGCTTTTAACTCTTTCTCTATTCCACAATAGTTGTATGTTAGTCATGGAGACATAATACTTGACTAGTTAATATTCCCTGGAAGATTTAATTCATATAAATAATGGATTATGAAATCCCAGTTGACCCTATCATAGGCTTTTTTCAAGTCTATTTTGATTGCCATAAATCCTTTTTTTCTTTCTTATTGTTTGCATTGAGTGGATTACTTCCTAAGCAACTATAATATTATCTGCATTGTGCCTGCCTGATACCAAACTACATCAGTTTGGGGCAATAATTTGAGGCAAGATATTTTTAATTTTATTCAAGATGATCTTTGTAATAGCCTTATAAATGACGTTACATAGGCTAATAGGACGAAGATTGTAATATCCCAAAAGGTATCCCCTTGATTAATTAAGTTAATAAAGGATAAATATGTAAATTTAAGTATAAATGAATATAAGGATAGCTAGAGATGGCCATTGGGTTTAACTTTAGCCTTTGTATTTAGTTCAAAATAGAATTAGGTAATCTAAGCTCAAATTATAGAGAACAATTAAATTTTAGCCCATTATGCATTATGATATAGCATAAAAGTTTATGCTGTAACATAATTTCAAAAACCAACTTTTTTAAAAATGCAAAAACATCCAAAATAGGGAGAAAGGAGCTTGAAATAGAGGGAGGACGATGAAGACAGTAGTTTCTCTACTAGGGCATCAACTTTTGAGCATTTTAGAGGTTATTAGAGCTTGATTTCACCTATATATGCCTTCCTTATCTCTTCTTCTTCTCTCTACACATTTCAAAAGTGAGATTTAAGGTTGGGAGATGATGATTTTTAGACCTAAGGCTATGGGTCTAAACCTATTGATCGAAATAGGACTAATAGGAGTTGTTTAAATTGTCCAAACCTAGTTTTGATGAGTTTGAGCATCTTTAAGCTTAGGCTTATTATTATGGATGAAATTATGCCTTAAAGTGCCATAAATGGTGATGATTGAGGTGGCTGGCTGCCATTGAAGTTGTTAATGTTTGTTAAAGCTAATAGTAGTTAATAAACCTAATATGATGATTAAATTCAAGAGTTGAGAGTTTTGGGTGATTAAAGTATCTAAACGTGAGAGTTGAAAGTGAGTAATTTGTAATATTGATGATGATTTTGGATTATTGGATGATATATTAATGATTATTTAAGTTATTGAGAGCTAAATAAAGTTAATTAGAGTTGAGAAACTCATTGGATGTGAGGTTGATTTTGTAGTTAAGAAATGTGGTTATTAAAGTATAAAATTAGATGTTAGAAGTGGTAATTTTAATGATTATTAGTAATGGGTATTAATATTAATTGTAGACTAACCTTGTGAAGCACCAAAAAACTTGAGTTTAGCTTGAAAACAAGTGATAATGAGGGGTAAACATTTGACCTCTCAAAGGTTTAAGAGAACCAGGAGAAATTTAGCTTGTGCATTTGCTTGATTAATTAATTATATGCGAAAATATTTATTTAAAAACCATGACATATTGTAAAACTATTGTGGCAATATGAATAAGTTTATATGATGTGATAAAATTGTTGTGAATGGCATTTGTGAAAAATATATGTTATATATAATTGTTGTTGTGAGTAGATATTAAAGTGTATAAGGATGCCTATGAAAAAGGAAAATTATGAATTGAGACTTGTGTTGAGCATAATCGTGGTTATGATATTGATAAGTATGATATGATGAGATTGATGTCAATAAAAGTTGCATGCTATTAGTAGGAATGGGCGGGTTACAGGTTGTTTACTCACCCTTATTCATTATCCCATTATTGTATAAGGACTGTCTCATTATACTTCAAGGAACTTGAACTTAATTAATCTCTATTGGTTTATAAGGAGGCTAAATTAAGGGGCACGACATCTCATAGTTGTTAGTATTAGGAGAGATCGAGTCACACAAGCAATTGTAGTAGTCTTGGCTAGGCATCTCCTCACAAGTGAAAGGCTTGGGATGTCCAAGTTCACAGACATAGCCCACTAAATAACCATTGGTTTCATATCGGAGATATCAGGAAGGTATAAGATTAGCATTGATCATGCATATTATATCGCAACCATATAGTTATTATTATTATGGTCTAGTAGAATTTGACAGGGCATATGGTTATTATTATTATGACCCCATATGTGTTTTAATGCATATTATCGTATGACCACTTGGTTATTATTTCTATGGTCTTATATTCTTACGAAAGGCATATGGTTGCTATTGTTGGGACTCTTGCATGCTAAGTAATCTAATGTTACATTATTATTAATTTTGCAATTATATGAATTGGGTGGTTTAATATGTGAATATGTCTTATTTAAATATGTTGTTTACATCACTATGATTAATTAACATACATTTGTATAGGTTAGATTAACCTTGATTACAGAGTAGTTTTACTTACCCTTCTATTTAACATTTTACAGGCACTAGTTTCAAGCAGGACATAAGGGAAAGCACTAAAGGATTAGGAACTTGGTTTCCTACTATAAGCCTCTTGTAATTTTTAATACACATGTATCATTACTTGATATTGCTAATCAAAATATTCATATTTTGTTATTACTTACAAGTATATTTTGAGCTCTAGTATGTGTGGTATCTTTTTAGTTGAAAAATATGAGCAAAGTTAAAATACTAATGCAAGTATAAATTTAACTATATGCATGTTTATATTGGCTTATATTGAATTTTGAAGTCAAAATGCCTCCCCTTGCTATTTTTAAAATCAAAGGGTTGATAATTGAAATTGTGAAATATGTGATATCTAGTTATTGTGGTATTACATAGGTTATCCTAAGTCTATTAAATATGGTCTAGGGGTGCTTGTGAGAGTATGGAATTTGGTTAGGATTTTGGACACCCTAGTTATCTTTTGAAAGCAAGAATTAAGTTTGCATTTTGATGTCTAACTTTTGATTGAGAAATTATTTGAATGTGAAACCAATGCTATTAGCTAGAGCTCAGAGAAAGCTTTTTGTAGACACTTAAATTACCTTAATTATATGTTAGATGAAGATTTAGGATGCATCGGAAGTTCGTCAAATTTTATATTGCAGCATATTATGCCAAAATCACTATTTTAGCTCTTTTGACCCCAATTTGACGTTATCTTGTCTTGTATGATGTTCATTCTTCTGTATATATGTTTTACTCTGACTTTAGTTTATGAAATAATTTTATAGCATTTTAAGTTTTAAAAACTTAGGATTTCATTTATGTAAATTTTACAAACTTAATAATCTGTTTAGGTTAGTCTCCTGATTACCTTGATTTTAGAGTTAATTATGGATTAGTAAAGGCGACCTTACAAAAGTCCTTTAAAGTCTTCAGTAGGTCTTGTTTTAGGTTGAGAACAAGCAAGGTCTAATTCATACTTTTAATAGCCTTTGGGTTAGCAAAAATGAATTTAACAAATTTAGTAAATACTTACCCACCATTTACCATTGATGTTGGTAGAAAAGTGCATGAAATTCGTCAGGTCCTAGAGCTTTCAGAGCCCCATGCTAAAAATAAAAATAGTGTCCTTTATCTCTTCATCCTATACATCTTAACCACATAGTTGAATTTCATAATAAAAAATGGACAAAAATTGGATATTGCAATCAAGGGGTTAATGTCGAGACTTTTCCTCGATAAACAAGGATGAAAAGTAGGTAGTGGCCACGTTTTTGATAGTTTCCACATCATCATGCCACAACCCATCCTCACCACAGGTAGCATCGATTTTGTTAGCTTTTCTTCTTATATTAGCACATGCATGAAACTGCCTTGTGTTCCTGTCACCATAAACCGATCACCCCATTCTCACTTTTTGTGCCTAGATAAGGGATTCTTCGATGACAACATTCTCGAGCTCCTTTCATAGCTAGAATTAAAGATTCTGAAACTTTCTAGCACCAGTGGCTTTACTAATAACTTGATCAATGCCCTTGAGATGTTGTAATATCCGAGCCTTAGTATGCCCAAGCATATTTCTATTCCAATTAACACAAATTGAGGCACAAGCTTACTATTCTAATCAAGCTATGTATGCCATTCTCCTTTCATAAACTCATTGAACTCATCATGTAACACCTAAGAGGCGATGAAATAAAATAGTCGATGTTGTGTGTTTCCTAACCTTTCATTAGATAAGCTCAGTAAAAGAGGTCTATGATCTGATCTAAAGCTAGGTAAATGCTTCACACTTGCATTAGAGAACATATTAGACTAGATCTCATTACATAAAATTTGGTCTAACCTGGCATTTGAAATCCCTTATTTCTAAGTAAATCGAGGTCCTTTGAAATAAAGATCGCCTCCTTCGAACCAAGTCACAAAGTCACTATCAACCGTGGTCTAATAAGTTGCTTTCGATCGTCTCTCCTCATGCAACAATGTGGCATTAAAATCAACGCTAATTGTAACACCCTCAAATTTACAAACCGATTTTTCACAAATTATTAATTCAACAAATCATTTTTTTTCATTGAACCCTTATCATGGTAGAAAAATTTCTACCATGATACATCCAAGACAATATACCACAGGTCTTAAAATATCTCAAAAAAAACAATTAGAACCATGAGAGACAGACAGGATTCTCATGGCATGATATTTAAATCAGGTCATGAATCAAGGGGGACAAACATAATCCTTTTGGTCATATAATTGTATTTAATAAAAAGGATTAGAGTTTACATGTTGTTAAAATAAGAAATGTCCTAGGTTGGCACAAGATTCATTGCATAATACAAAATGAGAGGCAACGTAAAAGATGGTGTCTCATACACCATAATTACACCTCTGGTGCTTTCTCGGCCGGACTCGCTCCTGTAAAAATATTAACCACGGGGAATGAGACTTAAAAGTCCCAGTAACCAAAAATTAATATGTAATGATGCATGTGGATGTAACTAATCATGCGATTGCTAAGTGGGCACACAAAACATTTAACCGAACAATATTTCCAAACAAACCGAACAAGTATTTAATTGCATGACTGCACCTTATATCCTCCTTTCACCATGCTCGGACGACAAATCACCCGGCCAAAGGTGAGTTAGACCAAGCGACACGCCACTCGTTGGGTCCAATGAGGGCTTACCACGTGGTAATAATTAATCGAACAGAAATTCCCATTAACACCATACATTAAAATACCCTGACAAGTCATGCATCATTCAAATATCCAAACAGAAATATATCCGAACAATAATATCTCATCATGATAAACAAAAATAAATTTTTAACCCACTTGACAATGATTTCACGGAAGTATATAACAGTATTTATTTTCAATAATTCATAATTTTTCCAAACAACAAAACAACACATAACCATTCACAAACACACCCATCACAACACATTAATAATGGTTACCTTGTGTCTTGAATAACAAGTTCCCCTTCACAACTCCTTTTTCACCACTATCTTTGTCAATATAATCTACATAATTATTTCACAATACTATATATTAATTTTACATTAAAATACATAACTCTAATTTAAAGAGTTAGAAAGTCTTAGATCTATAATCTATATTAACAATAATTTAAGATTTATGCCTCATTTAACTTCCCAAATTCTTTTCTAAAATTCTCGTACCCTAATAAACTATTTTTAAGCCTCAAATTACTTCTAGAATCACAATTTCATCCTTCTATATTCTAAAAATTCGCCCAAAAATAAATTAAAAATTTTAGAATTATCCTGAAGCCTCAAATCACCTTTCTATAACTTCAAAAATACCTATTCATACTTAAATAAATATTTAATAATCAGAAGTTCATCCCTACATCTCAGATTCCACATAAATTCGACCATATAGATCTAGATTTTAACTCAAAAATTCTTAAACATGAGTTTCAACCTCAAGAAAGTATTCTATAATATTTATTATATCCCTAAGAGTTTTAACCTATATTTTTAATCCATCATATCATCAGATTAACTATCCTATAGAAAAAAAATCTTAATCAGAATATTTACTCTATCCTATAAAATAATCATATCACTAGAAAGCTAATATTATTTAGAAAATAACTATAAAATTAATTTTGTAATTAAATAAATTTTTAAATGCTAATCTAAACAGGAAAGTTAGAACATACCTGAAGAAAAAGAAAATAATCCCCCCTTGCGAGAAAACGCCGAGCAACGTGAGAGGAAGAGAGAAAAATAATATAAAAATGGGATTGTGAGTCCCAAAATTATATTAAAAAAAACTATAGGTTTAAATTTAATTATTCAAACCTTTGGGCCAAAAGTTACAATTTTCTCTAAATTGCATCTTAACATCTCATGCTTCCTAATGCACACATCCCCTCCTTTTTATACATGAAGGCACCTCTTCTCTTCCCTCATCTAACCAATGTGGGACTTAGAAACAACAACCTTCCACCCCTTTTTTTTTGTTCCTTCTACCTTCTCTTTTTTTTTCAACACATACATAAAAAAAAATTATTTATGTATTATATCTTGACTAAATATTACTTATGTGGTTTTAAATTTAAATTTTTAAATTCATAATTAAATACCTAACCATAATATTATTTCTAAATAACCTCAAATAATATAAATTCCTATTATTATCATTTTTTTTCTCAAAACCTAAATTCCACAATTTCTTTATTATATAAAAAATCAGGATGTTACACTAATAGCCCAAGCTTCAGAAATAGAGTCTCTAATATGGCTAAGCTTCACTTGAAGAGATCGTTGGATAATCACATTCGAGCTTGTATAAACAATCATTAATAACCAGTGTGTATTCCTTTTTGACTCCACTCACAGGTGCTATTGGATTAGGAGGCGCAGTGAAAGATTAAAAAATTTAAATCCTAATCATGATCATAGATCGATCGAACTCATTTAAATCAAGGTGGATAGAAGAGTTATCTTTTATTTTAAACTTCTCACGTGTTGTCTTCAAGTAGTTGGATTTCAGGAGTTAACGATGTAGATCTGATCCCTTTGCCTGTATCCACACGAATAGCTTTCCAATATAAATAGTGTGTTAGCATTCTCCGTATCTAATATTTGTCGGTCTATCAATCAGAAGCTCCTTTTGTTTTTTAGGAAATTTTCATGGCTTTCAGAGGTTTTTTGCGGTCAAAAGACTCGATCAATTTTTGCTTACTTGAAACATGTCCCTTTCTCTATATTATATATAGACTATGATTTTTGTTTTCCTTTTAAATTTTGAAAATAATCATAATTATTTTGAAAGTCATATCTTGAGCCAGTAAAAATTAAATTAAATTTATCTCATAAATTTAAATTAAAAACTAAATGATATTTTCTTATGTCATGTTAGTTATTAAATTTAATTTTATCATTTAAAACTAAATTTAATAATATAATGTAATGTAATGTAATGTAATGTAATATAATATAATATAATATAATATATATATATATATATTAAATCTACATATTATATTATATATTTACACGAATATACATACATATATATGTCAAAAATATATTATATTATATTTTTAATTTTATATATTGTATAAACACACACACACACACACGAATATATATATATATATATTGAATATATATATCTATATAATTATATTTTGAATTTGATATTTCATATAAATATATATATATTTATTAAATAAATATTTAAATATATATATATATATATATATATTTTGTTCATCCTAGATAAAGCATTACATTCATTGAATCTAGAAATATTTTAGATTCAATAAATTTAGATATTATAGCTAGAGTTAGACTATTCTTATGTGCAAGTCTATAGGCTCATATGAAGTTGATAATAGGCTAATTATGCTACTAGCCCATAAGTCACAAATGACTTATAGCAAGATATTACAACTACTCAATTTATACAAGAATCGATGATCCAATGTAACTTATCATATAACCGTATCACATCCCCCGTGTCATGCAATATTGTGTTCAAGTGTGAGACATGAAATTGTCATTCTTTTTTACCTGACCATTACTTTCTCGATCTCTAAGTAGACTGATTATTACAATGGAAAAATCTTTTCCCTTATAGTATGGCCATATATTTTTTCAATCTTACTCATCAAGAGGCCCAGTAATATTTTTCAATTAATGTGAAGGACAAATTTCATCTTGATCACTTATATTTTTCTGTATGAATATCACTAAACTCAATCATAACCTTTATAATCACTCAATTAAAGGTGACTTTTGACTAAGTTAAAGTTTAATAGTCATCATATAGGAATTCATGATAGTCTCAAGTCAAAGGGCTTAGTGACATGGTTATATATGAGATAAGCTTATGACTTGTACCTTGTAGTTTTCTCATATTAGGTCGATCTAGCACCTCGAACCTTTTCAAGTGCCTACGACTTTGATTTATATCTCTATAATTAATCAAAGTCAAACTAGTAATGTTTCATCTATGCTCCCTCATAGATGACCAACTAGGGATATTTAAAATAATCACTATAGTTTATCCAAGAATATAGTTATCATAGTGAATATATAATTAATATGATAACAAAAGGAAAATTCATTAAATAATAATGTTCATAGTATAATGATTAATCCTAAGGTACAATTTCCAACAGGTGCATGTATTGGATATTGCATTCAAGAACAAATTTTTTTCTTAATATTAAAGTCCCACAAACACTATATCCTACCGCATCAACAACTTTAAAAAATTGAAAGCTGAACCTCTCAATTCTTTGTTCAGATTTCCCCTCATCACATTGTGTTTCTAGTAATTCCATAAAATTTAACTTATATTAATTTGTCAATTCATGGGGAAATTAATTCTAGCTATTGGTAGAGATTATCGTCATTTGCCACAACCATATCCTCATTCTACATATCTAATTCATTCATCTCTTACATATCTATTGCTTCCTTATGAGCACCCGATTAATTGGCAGTATTGTGTTGGGAGCCACTCGGGTCTCCTGCTTCATCATTCTTCGACCTTTCCATGATTTGCATGGTTGAATTCTCTTCCTTTAAAATTGAATATTTATTATTTAAAAACACTTGTTTTTTTGTTGGTTTCATTCCAACTTCATTTCAACACTTTGGCAGGATTAGACAGAGATTCTCCTTGCTATAATTTTTGTGCTTATATTCAGGTTTCCTTTTTTTCTTGATTAGAGCCCATTCCTACTTATTTTGGTTTAGCTCTTTGCCAAACTCTCTAATAGGTTAAGTCCCAAAGCCCATTTTAACCCACTAAACTAGCTTGCCTTCTATTCTATCCATGTGGCTCTTGCTTAGATATATCCTCTACAGATCTTAATTTACATTGATCTCAAGATTGACTCCCATTAACCCTACATAGATTCCTCGCTAATAATCCCTTAATATCCGTACCTCTTGAATGTCCACAAACATCTTGCTTCGTGAGATTCACTGGCCTTAATCTATTGCCTGAGTTCTATATACCACTATCGACGGTTGGCATTATCATATTAGCAGCCATGCTCATACCCCTGTGAGCTCCTACCTTTCCATTATCCACCTGATTATTCATCGCTTTTGTCTTACTCTTTGTCACTAAGGACCTATCCACCCTTGTATTCACCTCATTCATTGGGTAATTATCTTAGGTATGTCTAAATTTTCCACACCTAAAGCAAACTAAATGCAAACCTTCATACATAATCGGCTGATCCTTAATAAACACATTAAAATATAGGATTAATGGCTTATGCAAGTCAATTCCACACAAATTCTTGCAAAGCCCTCTTTGTCATATATCAAGGTAAATTGGTTCACTTTGATGGTTTTTCTTATCACATTGCCTATTCTTCTAAGGGATTCTATATTGTAGAATCCCATTAGAATATTTAGGATCTGAACCCACGCCACAATTCAACTTTGTAAGTCAGCCTTTCATGGATTAAAGTTGCGACGCCATCTCTACACCAAGAGGTAATGTTCATCAATCATCCACGAGCCTTCCTGAAAAGCATAGTCATAATCCACCTTGTTTGCAAAGGATACAATAAAGTATCTATTATTCAGAGGGATCACTTTAAGCAATCCTTGTGGCTTCCACATATGTGACACTTTATCTTTAGCTCCTAAAACCTTCACAACCACTGAAATCATCCATGGTAGCTTACTTATCCATAGTAAATTTCAGATTAGGATACTTTGATCCGTTGGATGCTTCTTCTTCATCATCCTTATTAGAATTTGGTTTTTCCTTCTTATTCTCTTTTTCTTCCTTAGAATTCATTTTGTGAAAGTAAGACTTTCATCCATTCACTATATCCTCCTCTTCATCATGTTGCATTAGAAAACCTACCTTATTTATTGATATTGGTTTTTCCTTATATGATGGAGGAATGATACTTTTCCTAACTATTCCAGGTTCTTTCCTTCCTTTCTAGCAAGATCACTAATTATCATATTGGATGATTTGAACACAAAGCTATAACCAACCAAGTGAGCAAGCAATCCTTCATCATGGCACTCTTTACAGTTTGGGCTTTCACAACCTTTTCCTTTACCACAACTGTTATAGTCTTCACTACTTCTAGTCCCACCATCACCGTCACTCTCTCATATCCTTTTCTTGTGCTCTCATGTTACAAAATTTTTAGATACCACGATAAGCCTATAAGTAGTAAATAAATTAAGAAATAAAAAATTTAATGAAAGAAAAATGAAAAAAAAAGATGTGTGTACTGTCCACATTATTATTAAGGGAAGATTATGTATAAGTCTTATGAAGCAAACTTATTTACTACTAAGTCCTACAAAATTTAAAAATTACAGCTAGGTCCCTTAGAACCTGAGTGTAATTTGAAATTAGGTTGTAAAGACAATAATACCCTTATTAAATATATATTACATCAATAAAATAATTAATTTACAACTACTTCATGAGTAATTTATAATTATAATTTTAACTTTTTATAACTGTAAATTTACATATTTAATAGTTAAACAATCATATGTTACTGACAAAGTTTAATATTAATTATTTACAGTTACTTTATCAGTAATTTACAACTGTAATTTTAAGTTTTTATAACTGTAACTTCACATATTCAATGATTAAATAGATTAGTTTAATTATTGAATATGTGAAGTTACAGTTATAAAAAGTTAAAGTTGTAAATTACTGATAAAATAATTATAAATTATTTAACTTATATAATTTATATATGTTTAATAGAGGCATTATTATCTTTTTATCTCAATTTCAAATTACATTTAGGTCCTAAGGGATCTAGTTATGGTTTTTAAATTTCATGTGACTTATTTGTAAATAAGTTTGTTTCATATGACCTATATGTAATTTTTTCTATTATTAAAGCCCACACTCACCCTATTTTAAATGGATTTATCTTCTGTGCTCATTACTCTAGTGCTCATCAGAGTAATGCAATCTGGATTAGTCAGATTTTTAATTTGCATGGTTCAGATTTAAAGAATTAATTTAATATTTTTATTTTATATTTTTTAAAAATTATGAAAAAGTTTTAATAAATCTTTTCATGATTAATCTAGTCTATATTTAATCTAGAAGGTCCACTTTAATATTAAAATTTTTATATTTTTTATATATTGATTATCCAGATGTATACTGTATAGTTTAAATTTTAAATTTTTAAATTGTTTTTAAAAAATACTTTTTAAAAAAGTTATAGTTAAAATATTTTATATTTTATTTTTTAATTTTGTATTTATTAAAATAAAAAATTTTAATATTAAACTTGAACTGTGTAGAGTACATCTAAATAGTCAATATATAAAAATTTTAAAATTAAATTAGATTATTTATATTAAATCTTCACTGTCATAACTCATAATTAGTGATATACTATTTGTTAAAGAAATTAATAATTTTTTATTTTAATAAATAAAAAATATAAATATAATTATAAATTAAAGGTCTGGACTGAAAGGTCTAAATCTCATCATGATGATTAGCACCCAAGACAGACCCATTTCAAATTGTACCCCTTGGCACTGTGTCTTCATCTTCTTCCCGGACCATAGTAGACTAGAGAGCCATGACCTCTATCAATGGTGGTTCCTTTGATGAGCTAAATTTCAGATCCTGGTTTCATGCTCGAAGATACTTCCCACAAAATCCTTCTCACATCCTCGAAGATACTTCCCACAAAATCCTTCTCACGTCAATTACTTTATGCAATGAGAGCTTTCTAAGAGTATGGTTATTGAGGGGAAGGGGAGCATGGTCAATTAAAAAATTACTGCTTAATTAGAGAAAGTACTGAATTTCAACAATAAAAAACCACAAAATTATTGAGGTAAGTGAATACTTGGATATAATAAGTTTAGTTTCTTGAATAAAATTAAATTTTCACCTCTAAAATTGTTGAAACAAGGGGGGCTTTTTTATTTTTGGAGTTACTTGTTGCTTGAAATTTGAAAACCTAATAACAAGCTAGATATCTATTAGAATTTGATTGAGAGATTGAATTACAAGTTTGAATAATTCTTCTAATTACGAGTGAGTTAATTTTTCACATATTTTCTGGGTGGGCAACGTGGACATTGTTTGCCTAGGCCATTAAGAACTTTAGATGATAATAACTTATTTAAATTTTCATGGTTATTAAGTTTTACTTGAATTAGTTACTTAGGATTCTTACTTTAAAAATAAGATTTTGGAATAATTGTGGAATTAATACTTGTATGTCATTTTACCCTTCTTGAAAGTGATTTGATAATGAATAAAATATTATGAGATGCTTGAAAATCTTAAAATTCACTTGGTGTGCTTAAATTAAATTTTAAAAGAATGATATGGAGTTTGATGATGAATTTAAAAAATGAGCTTGCTGTATACTGAACCTGAATCAGAGAAAATGATGATTTTGATGAAATTAGTTTGTTAATATAAAAATAAAACATCTTTATAATCAAGATAAAATAGAGGTGAAAACAATATATTTTACTCACTAAATTTTTTTAATATTAATATTTATTTTTATTTTAAAAATTAAAATATTTCCATGCACAGCACGGGATATAAATCTAGTTAGATTAGAAGGTAAATTGAGATTGAGATAAATTGAACCTAAACTGGAATTAAAGAATTGACATTGGGATGAGTGTCAAATTTTTTGGATTTTAGAGTTTATTTAATTTAATTTTTTTACCTTTATTTTAATTTAATACATGGATATAATAAAAGATGGAACTGTAATTAATCAGTTGATACACGCAAACCAACTCACCATTCCATTCGTCTTGGTCACTTGGTGAGTTCAGTTTCTTCACCTTCCCATTGACCTCTTCTACTCCCTTGTACTTTCTTTTGGCACATTTTGAATTTGAATTCTTACTTACCTGCGTAACTTCATATTTTCTTTGAATCTGTCATTTTTTATTATGATATTTTTCCTTGATATTTTTCTAAAGGTTTGAACATTGATTTTGCTCTTTGAACCAATTTACACTTCCCCATGATAAATTTCTAATATGAATTATGAGAATTTACAATTGTAAGAAATATCTGGCACTTGATTGATATTATAGTTTAACGTGGCGAGAGTAATCACATGCTTGTTAATTGGTTTATTTATTTCTCTTAATTTTCGGGGAATGGTTTTTCTTTTAATTTTAAAAAGCTGAAAGCCTAATTGTTTGTTTTTTTGGACCAAAGAGCTGAAAGCCTAATTAAAACAGCCCAATCAAAGAAGAAGAACGTTTTTATCATCAAGGCGCAGGAAATCTGGGTCCATAGTCCAGTACCCACGGGAATCGGTTTCGGTGCTCAGCACCAAAACACTGCCGTTTGGCAGTGTTTTTTTTTTTAGCTTTTTTAAATCACAAATTTATTATAATAATAATATATGAATATTATAAAATTATTATTTTAATATTTAATAAACAAATAAATATTAAGATGTCAAAATTAAATATAAACAGATTAACTCATTAAAATTTAACTTGAACAGTTTATATATAAATTTTAATCTGAACAGTTTAGAACTATATTAAAAAAATTAAAATTGTAGATATAAATTTTTCTTTACTTTATTGATTTTGTACAGTTGTTTATCTATGAGAGATGATATCATTCAAGGTATAATCAGATATTAAATATAGATACTTTTCTTAATAAAAATTCAAACATTAATTTACTACAGTGTAAGAAACTAGCTCATTTTGCCAGATTCGACTCATATTTTAAATTATTTAGATTTATTTTTTATTTTTTAATACAGTTTTCAATGTTCAAACCAAAATTTTTATTTAAACTATTCAGGTTTAATTTTAACATTTTAATATTTATAAGTTTATTAAATATTAAAATAATAATTTTATAATAATTATTTATTATTATAATAAATTTGTGGTTTAAAAAAACAAAAGAGCAAAAAAAACAACTGCCAAACGGCAGTGTTTTGGTGCTGAGCACCACGGTGCGCACCGAAACCGAGTCCGTACCCACGCGGCCACACAGACCCCTTACGTGTACCGTGTACTGGCGATTCTGCTTCTTTCCGTTTGAGCCTGCTGCTCCTCGTCACTCCGGAAAGCTTGACTCTTCCCTCTTCAGCTTCCTCCCCAGTCCTACAACACTTCCTGGGAATGGGTCGAAAACCCAACGCTCCCAAGCTACCGGCCAAGTCTTCCATGGTATCCCCACACTGGATTCTTCGCTATCCCCCCACCCCTCTTTGTTTTTTTACTATTTATCTGGTCCTCTTTATTCCTAATGTCGGACTGTTGAGCTGGTACATTATTTTATACACTCCTGTTTTAAGTTTATATGTGCCCATCTTATCTGCATTTATTCGCCATGTTACAACTATTCCTGTCTTTCATCCGTGGAAAATAGGATCACTATCATTATTCTTCGCTAATATGCGGTTTGCCAATGGACTTAGGGTTGCGCTCTGATTTGGGTCTTAGAGTTTTGGTTAATTGAATAGTTGTGTTCGTGTTTAGTTGTTTTTCTGTTGCCATTGCTTTTGGCTCCTTGTGCAAAAACTGTGTTTTCTTAGCATGGTTTCAGTTTTCTTGTTGTCTTACTTGTTTAACACGTCATAAAGGGACCATTTTGGCGATCTGCTGCCGAACATGTAATACTTTTGTTCTGTTCTTTTGGTGGAAATATGTGCATGTGGAAATGTCAGAGTCCTCATTGTAACATTGCTCCTACTTGTGATGTAAAACATAGCTTAGCAGGCCCCTTTTTTGGCCTGATGTCCCCTCTGGAGTTAGCAATTTATGTGACTGTATCATAAGAAAACCAAGCAAGCTGGTCGTCATTTGTTTTGTTTTTGCTAGCTATAATTCTTACTTTGTTCAAAGCCCGTAGGTATGAATCCTTCTCTGGGGAAGTCTGAACCAAGTTCAGCTTTAGAGGAAGAAAAGGGAAAATCTGAGCTGGAGCAGAAGTCTACTTCACGTAGGAGGAGAAAATCCGGATATTATTCTTCTAGTGTTAGGCGATCACAACGTATAACTCCTCTAACGGTTACCCCTAACCAAGATATTGAACCATATGTTGAGGACATCATTGTTAGCGAGGATGAGAATGATGAAACTGATACTCAAATGGAGAAAGTATGGTCAGAGCCGGACGCAAACCTGGATGAAAATAATTTGAAAGAAAAAGTTGACTACATGTTACAGCGATTAGAAGCTCTTGAAAAGATCATAGAATCGTTGCAAGCCAAGGTACTAAATAAATTAATACCCAAAAGCACACGTTGATGTCGCTTTTCTTGTGATTTACTGGCTTGTATCATGATCTTTTGCATTGAATATGCAAACAGCTGGATGAAAATATTGACTTAGGTAAAACCGCTCCTTCAGCATCCGCTGTATACAGGAAGTACACAGAATCCCAGAATCAGGTTATGTCTAATTTAGTATTTGACTTGATCCTTTAAGCTATTTGCGCCCCCCCCCCTCTTTTCTGGCCACTATTACATCTGTTTTGTTATTTTACTCTGGAGAACCTTTCTTGTCCATACACATGCAGCTTGAAGCGTTAAGAGAAGAAAATCAGCGACTTAGTGGAAAGCTAGAACATGCTTTAGGCAAAGTTGAAGTGGTATGTCATAAAGCTACTTTATAGTATTTAGTCGTATCAGTGCAAACCTGAATGTTAACATAAGATCACCTACTTCTTCTTGGTGGGTTCACTTAATCATGCAGTTTACTGCTTATATGATTGTTACGTCAGCCATATAGCCCCTCCCAATTTTGTGTACCTTTTCATCCCCTCATGTTCGTCACTAGATCCATCCCCACCAGTCATCCTTGTTGTTATTACAGTAACGTGCAATGGTAACCGGTAAGTGATTAGAAGTATGTTTACAATGAGTAGATGTTGACGAATCTCATTGCATTAGAATGCAATTTGACAGGGCTCTCTTAACACTAATTTCTGGTTTGCACCCTGGTTACTTTAACTGTTTCAGTTTATGATTTTGTGCAAAATGTTTACTACATCATTCAGATCTTTGATTTTTCTCGAGTATTTTTCTTATGTTTTCAAGGAGCAAGAAAGCCTTTGTTCATGATTGTTGTAACATGTTTTAATGAGGGATAATGAGGGTTCGTGTAGTTGCTGCCTGCCTGCCTGCCTGCAATGGTCAACTTCTTTTCCTATCCTACATTCCTACTCTTTCCAACAGTGGCCAAGATTAGCTGATTATCATTCATTTCCTGTCATCTGATATTGTTAAATTTCCAGCTGTCGGGAAATGTCTGTCAAAAATTAAATAATTTTAGGACTGAAAATAACAATCCGTGGTCAACGATGGCTGAAATTCATGATGAGTATTCTTATTATAGTAGCCTTTTGGGGAAGGTAACTTGAAATTGATGGTTTGTAGGCATTGAACAGGGAAAGAAAAACAAGAAATGGCACCTAATCAATTGAGCTTTTAATAAAGTGTGTTGGGGGCACTGTATTGATGTGGTTGTGACCTAACTATTGTTGATGTTCTTTTATACGCAGCTGGAGAAGCAGAGTGGCGCGTTGGTTGAACTATTGGTGAATTGGAAGGATGTTGTAATGATCTCCAATCTGTCCAAAAGTACTGAAAGAGCTGTCAATGCATCAGTACAAGCAATCCAAACTGCTTGTGCGGCTTACGGTGGCAAAAGAAAGTGACAGGCCACGAAAAGCTGAAAACAAATGATATTTGACCTCTGGTATGCTATTGTAATATAGTAATGTTGTGAACACACGTTTGTATTTTGGTAGGCTGAAACTTGTGTTGCTTACTGTGGATGTCGTTTGAACATGTTAGTAGTCTGGTAGGAATGATAATGTGTTTCGGTTCTTTCTTTTGCCTGTGTTCGGTGTGCTTTGGCCTGAATTTCTGGTGATTTACCGGGGATTTAAAGAGTCACCAGAGAAGTTCAAGTTGGCTCTTGAAATGGGATGGATATGAATTTTATCATGCAGGTCAAAATTTCAACCCAGGGATACTAGACATCAATGTGCTGCTAATATGTAGTTGAAAGTGAAACTCATCATTAGTTGGCTGTCGGGACCGAAGAATAATGGATAGGTGTGTTCTTAGAAAATAAAGTAATTGGGACAATATTTGGGGCTCCGAAGTTTCTTATGAGTTATGATTGACAATCTGTCTAAAAATGGCATTGGCACGTTGAGGATGACCTTCGGCACCGACACTCTGCCAGCTGTGTAACTTCCTCTGCGTGGTTTGTGTCCTTCGCTGCGCTTTTTTTTTTTTTTTGGAAAATTGCTGAAAAAGACTATCAGAAAATTTAATTGCTCATAAGGGCTTGAGAGAGATTTTGATTTGAGGTCTTTGGTTGGCATTAATTCAAAGCTCTAAATGACCAGATAGCCCTCATGGTTAATTAAAAAAGTAAAAGTTATGTAGGGTTCTTCACTTTTAATAATTTGTGTTACTATAGTAAACAAAGTTTTTCGGTGTCAATAGATCAAACAAAATTTTTCAGTGTCAATATGTCAAATGTAGTCCTTATAAAAACAAAGTTTTTCATGATATGCAAGTACTCTTCAAAGAAATATAATTTAGCTTTTATATATTTGAAAATCTAAGTTGTATATTTTGAAAATTATGTTTTGGTGTCATTTTTAGGATGCAGTTTTTAAGATTTGCAATTTACATAAAATAATAAATTGTGTATCTTAGAAGTTAAATTTTTGTGTCAAATTTTTACATTAAATTCAATTTAGTTTCATTCATGTGCAATTCTTCCACTATATAAGTGCAATTTTCAAGAAAATGTGAGTTAACTTTCACATATTCAAATATTACATTTGGAAACATATGCAATGTCTTTTTTTTTTTTTTTTCATAACATGTGACTGATCTTCAACGAAATACAATGTTTTTCATATATTTGAATATCACTTATGCATAATTGAATATTTCTTATGGACACCTTCAAGAGTACATGCAATGTTTTTTTCATGATATGCAACTGATTTTCAATAGAATGTAATTTTCTTTTATTTATCCGAATATTACTTATACATATTCAAATATTCATTGTTAATATCTCTTATGGACACCTTTGAAAACATATGCGATGTTTCATTCACAATATGTAATTGATTTTTAATAAAATGTAATTTTTTTTGATATATTTAAATATCATTTATATATATTCAAATATCTCTTGTTAATGTCTCTTATGGACATCTTTATAGGTATATGCAATGTTTCTTCCACAATGTGCAACTAATTTTCAATAGAATGCAATTTTCTTTCATGTATCCTAATATCACATATGCTTATTCAAATATCTCTTATGAACACCTTTGAAGACGTACATGATGTTTCTTCTGTGATATGTGACTGATCTTTAATGAAATATAATTTTTTATCTTGACTTCTTTTGATTTATAGATGTCTTGCATTTTTAATTAAAAAATACATTTTTCTTTCGTACATTCGAATATGCTCCTTGTATATTATGAAAAAAAAGTCCTCATGTTAAAATTTTTCATAAAATACACTTTATATTTGAATATATTTTTTGTATATTTTAAAAAAATATTTTGGTATTAAAATTTTACATAGAATACACCTTATATTCAAATATGCTTTTTACATATTTAATTTTAAAAAAATAATTTTGGTGTCAAAATTTTACATCAAATGTACCTTGTATTTAGATATGCATTTTACATATTTTGAAATTGTATCATTTTTTATGGAAACATTATCTCAATTTTTAGGATACCATTTTGTGATATTTTGGAAAAAAAATTTCTCATTTTTTATGAAAACCAAGTGTTAGAAAATTGTATCATTTTTCATGTAAACACCAATAAATATTTTGGAAAGGTAAATAAAAATTTTATTAGGGGGATAATCAATATGTGAAATGAAATCTTTCTAATCCAACAAGTAAACGGAAAATTGAACTAAACTTCATTTTATTAAAAATTAAAATTACAAATGGTCCGTCTTTTACAATCAAACAAGGCCTTTTTGTGTGGTTCCAATTGTGCTTTTAGTAGCATAGCTTTCAACTCCAACAATTCCCAATCGTTGCTTGAACAAATGGCTGTAAAAAAGAATTGATAATCCGGATTTATACCTCCTTCCGGCTTCCACCTAGCCTCAAAAAGAGTAGCTTCCTTTTCTTTCTTGAGTTGAGCCGCAAGTTCATCGATTAGTCTTTTTCATCCCTCTTCAAATTGTCTTTGAATCTCCACTTGAATTTCTTCAGATTTCAAGCTCTCTTCAACTTTCTTACGAATTGCATCTTCTACTCTCTTTGTAGTCTCTTCTTCTATCAACTCCAATTCTGCTTCCTGTTGCTGCCTATGGATGCATGACAAAATGTTAAGCAGGAAAGTGACCACTAAAGCAAGAAGAATGCCACATAAGCGAACCCAATGTCTCTGGTCGTGGGCAATGGGCAACATAACTTTGACAACTAAACTTGAACAACAAGATGGACCGAAAAAAACCTGGACAATAAGCGTGCTTCATTTCAACCCCTTTTCATCCTTTTCTAGCTTATTTACAGAGAACCATAATCGTTGTCAAACAAACCTTCATGATGACAAAGACACTAGAAAAATGCTTATGCTTTTAAGTCATATCTCTATTGAATCCTGATCCAAACAAATGAGAGTTAAAACCGGTGAACAATAGATAAACGAGGCAGCCAATTTGATCATCAAATATAACAAGTTGAACTATAGCAGTACTTCCTTCGGAAAAGCCTGTGGAGAAGACATTCAAGTAACCTGCTGCAGTTTTAAACTAATCATGGCAAATACTTCTTTTACTAACATCTTTGAGATGAAAGAAACTTCTTGAAATCAAGCAGGTATCGATTTCCAAAAAAAAAAAAAAAACAAATAACTGCTAAAAAAATCCCATTCATGCCTCCAATCAATCATAGCACGCCCGATCATATAGTCACATAACAAAAAAGAATGATCAACACTGCTTGGATGTGGCAAGAGACTCATAAAAAAGCATGCTTACAAGTTCAGTAGCAGATGAACAACCTTATTTTCTTCAAACGCTCAAGATCATCCCTGAACTGCATGTCCAATGCATGGGAAACAACCTGAGACTTTTGGTATGCACAAGCCAAGATTGGTTTGTTCAATTTAACTCTGTTCAATCCTGTGCTTCCTAGAATTATGCACCCAATAAACATTGCGGACTAAAAATTGAGTCATTAAAAACACTAGCATAGAGTAGACATGGAAACTCTCACGAGAAAAAACTAAAAACTAAAGTTATTCATCCAACATGTTGAAAGAGAAAGAAGAAGCAGCACAGACGGAATGAAAACCCATTCGGTGAATGTTGGAGGCCATGGAGTGTTTGGATAGCTCTAAATGTCGTAGAACCGAGGAGGTTGAGATGGAATACCTCCTTACCAATGGTGCACTATGCTTTTGATCATGTTGCTCAAATGAAGATGAGGTTAGAGACCTCCATGGGTCGAACCCACTCACATCGAATCGAGGCTTGAAATCAAAGTTAGAGGATGATCAAGTAACAGAGAAATCAAGAGAAATGAATTGAAGAACCAGAGAGGGATCAAGGATTCAAGGAACCAGGATCTCACCTTACTTCACACTGTGCCCTAAACCTTCAATGGCTTCATTAAATTTGATTCAAGTTCTTTGTTGGTGAGACATATTCAATGAGAGGTCGGTGAGTCCGAGTGATGCAAGGCAAGGACCGACAGACAAGGAGAGGAAGAGGCATTATTGATGTCAGTGTGGAGCAGGATCGACGATGAGAGAGAAGAAAGGAAGGATGAGCATTAAAGTCAATTAGCCTTTAGCAATTCAGGAGGGTGTCTCTCATTTTTCCTTTTTTTCTGCTCTCTCTGCTTCTCCAAATCCCGATCATTTATTAATTTTATAATTAAAAAATCATTTAATAAAATGATATAAATGATGAGATCGAAAGGAGCGAAGGAAAAAAATAAAACTAAAAAGAGACCCTCTCCCTAACAACTAAAGAAAGGAAGTCTCTCTCTTTTTTTTTTTCATCTCTTCTTCAACCCCTATCATTCATTAATTTTATAATTAAAAAATTATTTAATAAAATAATATAAATTGTGAGAATGGAGGAAGTAAAAGTAAAAAATAAAATAAAATAAAAAAAGACAGACCCCTTTCCCTAGCAATTCAAGGAAGGGGGGTCTTTTCTTTTTCCTTTCTTTTTTTTCTTTTTACTTTTTCAATTTTTATCATTCATTAATTTTATAATTAAAAAATTATTAAATAAAATGATATGAGTGATAAAAATGGAGGAAGTGAAGGAAAAAGAAAAAAAAAAAGGGACCCTTATCCCTAACAATTAAGGGGAGGGGGTTCTCTTCTTTTTCCTTTACTTCTCTAATTCCTATCATTCATTAGTTTTATAATTTAAAAATTATTTAATAAAATGATATAAATGATGAAGATGAAAGAAGTGGAGGAAAAAGAAGGGAAAAAAATAAACAGAAAGACCCTCTCCATAGCAATTGAAGGAAGGGGATCTTTCCTTTTTTTTTTTTCCATTTTCTTTTCACCTTTTCAATCCCTGTTCTTTATTAATTTTATGGTTAAAAAGTTATTTAATAAAATGATATGGATGGTGAGAATGAAGAAAGTGGAGAAAAATGAATGAAAAAAAAAGAGAGATAGAGAGCCCTCTCCCTGGCAATTGAGAAAAATGGATCTTTTTTTTTCTTTTTTTTTTCTCTACTTCTCCAATTCCTACCATCAAAGGATCTTAGTTAATAAATGTTTTTAAGTGCTTGTAAGCAATTCAATTTGTAGTGAAGTCTTTTCTAACAATTTTTCCTCCTCCTTTTTTCCCCCCAGAATGTCTTCTTCACTGCTACAATAAGGATTTGATTGGTATATAATTTAAAATCTAACGTTGTCGCGTGATAAATAAAAAGAACGTTGAAATTTTTTTGAAAAAATTGTCCTTTTATCCTGGATAAAAAATCAACATCATCTATCCTTTTCTTATGTGCTCCCCAGGAATTGGCAGCATCCAGCCGTTCATCTTGTTCGGACTGCGTATTTTTTGTTCTGATATTTTTAAATTTTTGTAAAACGAGGGGTTGAAATCTGATTAGTGCTTAAATTAATAACAAGGATGAATCTGTCTCCACTGCCGTTTGCATGCAATGAATTGGATGAAATTTGGTTTTTTTTTTTTTGGCAACCCTAATGCTTTAAAATAGATTCATTCCGGGTGTGCGCGTTTTCATGTATGCGTACATATTACAAATCATAAATTAAAAATATAATTCTTTTAAATAATGATTGCAACTTGGCATGTCGTGGTGTTGCTCTTCAAACAAAGAGAGGTTCAACATATAAAAAGAATTATTCTAGGGTCATTATTTGACTATATGTGACTTTGTTGAAAAGAATGGGAGTGAATTTTATATTCTATATAAAAACTAATATTACACTCTCTTCAATCTCCTCTATAAATTACATTTTAAAAAATTTATTTATTTTTATTTATAAATTACAGTATAATTTTTTAAATAATATTTAAAAAATATTTTAAAAATTATTCTTTATGAAAAAAAATAATATAACATTATTCTTTAAATTTGTTTCATAGAAGCATATTTAAAATTCTTTATACTTGTACTTTTTTATATTAATATTAATGAAGTTGATAGAAATAATTTATAAAAAAAAAGAGGAGTATTTTTACTTCATGTTTAGAAGATCCAAATTTAATTTGAAGGCGTGTTGTTTTAATCGTTACTCATTAAAAAAAATTGTTACTCATTAAGAATTTAAATTTTCTATCTTCAACCTCGTGTTATCTTTGTGAAAAAAAAAGAAAACCACGTTATCGCTAATTCAGCATTACTAAACTGGCATTATCAATAGTATTATTTATTTATGAATAATAAACATGTGTAAAAAGTAAATACTAAATATTTTTAAGAGATAAGTAAAACTTTTGTTTCAAATAATTCAATATTGAACTACTATCATTTACAATTAAATTTTTAATTTTTACAAGAGAGTTTTTAATTTTTAAAAATCACCAATGCTGAATACTCCATTTTCAAGCAAGAACAACTTTGAAATTAATTACCCCTATCATATTTTAATTCAGAGGTCATTTAATGAATGCTATAATATTTTTAGTCGTTACTGTGTCTTCTCCTTTTTTTTTTTTTTAAATTTTTGGTCAATTTTCTCTTTAAATAAAGCATTTGCTTCTCAAAACGCGAGCGCCAATAAAAGAGACACAACCCAGAGGGATGTCCGCGCTAATCATGATTTCTATTTCGCTCGATCCAGGGTTCCATCGTCGCGCCTTACCCTTATGTAGAAGCAACCACCGGCACTACGCTACAGTCTTCCCCTAACTCTGTTAGTTTCTTTCTCATCTCCATTTTTATTCCTTATCTGAATGTGGAGCTCGCCAATCTGTTTGGTTTGCCAATTTCAATGAAGATTTTACTCCCTACTTGGTTTCCTGGATCTAGATATATACATACATATATATATATATATATATATTTCTGTTGCTTGATTTGGTTTCGCGTGACTTTTTAATTCTGATTTTCTTGTTCATCATTTTCTTTGTTCCAAGATTTTCTTGTTCATTTTGCCCACAAGCTTGTATTTACTTCTTAATTATTTTTTCAATTTTTTTGGGCTGGGGAGGGTTAAGCATGCGGAGATTTCATTTATCCATCCCACGGTAATGAGTAATGTGGATTAGACACATAGCTTAATTAAGTAAATGACGGTATCTTTCCCACTAATTTGGAGATGTGGAGCTGATTCTGTGAGATATAGTCACAGTGGCGTGATTCGTATGGGTAAACTGGGTATTTAATCCTTTTCTGGAGAGAGGACTGCAACTGCGTGGTTTTCTGTCCAAAAGCTTGCAATGCCGGGGAGATATAAAATAGATTGAAATAAAGTGGACTCGAGCCCTTGAAGATGGCTCGTTTGAGGCACAAGAGCGCAAAAGGAATGATCCCTTTTTCTGTTATGTAGGTGGTGTTCAGTCAGATCTAATCAAACTTCAACACTTATTGGCTTAAACTATACTTATATGTGTAAGCTAAAGGGATTTTGTAATGGTGTTTGGGATTGGGACCAGATTGGCAGGGCGAAACTCACAATGTTAACATGTCTTCTTTTCTGGTCAATCTGATTTGTTGTTTTGAAAGGATTAAATATAGGTTCTTTCTAATCTTGCCATAATGAAAAACGGAACTTGTGTACAGAATCATGGATTCTTATGACATGTGATTAAACATCACAAGACATACTAATTTTAGACTCGATCTTCAAGCAATGATGAAAATGGTTGTTCATTGCTCTGCAGCTTACATATGGGGACGCCGGCGCTCGAAAGTGAGAACAAAATCTCTGATGTATACCGTTCACTGGGGCTTAAACAATTGGGTAAACGAGTTGTTGGCGTTCCACGGGCTTTATCACTTGTCTCTTCACTTCTTGAGAGATCAATTCAGAGAAATGAGGAGCTATTGGAGGCAAAACATATAAAAGATGTTGTTACTGTGTTCCATGGTTTCAGAGCACCGGCTCTCAGTGTTCGCAAGTACATCGATCGTATCTTCAAATACTCAGCCTGCAGCCCCTCCTGCTTTGTGGTAGCACGCATCTATGTTGATAGATACCTTCAGCGAACAGGAGTCATACTGACTTCGCTTAATGTGCATAGGCTTCTGATTACTAGCATAATGATAGCAGCAAAATTTATGGATGATGCGTAAGTGGAAGTTTGACATGGGACAAATGAATGTTTTATCTCTCTGCTGCTGTCAGTGTCTGGTGTTTCTTGTAGTGGAAAGTTTAGTGCTCAGTATAACATTACATCCTCTGTACATGGTTTTGCAGATTCTTCAACAATGCTTACTATGCAAAAGTTGGAGGAGTAAGCACGTCTGAGTTAAACAGGTTGGAGATGAACTTTCTGTTCAACGTGGATTTCAGACTTCAAGTTAATGTAGAGACATTTGGAAGATATTGTTCGCATCTGGAGAGGGAAGCTGCAGAATCTTTTGAGATTGAGCGGCCAATGCAAGCGTGTCGAATTAAAGAATGCTGATCAAGCAAAGATGATTCTGCTTGCGCTTCCCCTGTTGCGAGATGAAGATGCAGAAGCACTTCAATCTATTGCTGGAAATTCCTTGACAAACTGGAAGAGAATCAATTTTGGAGTATTCAAACAGGGAAAGATTGCTAGGAATTCAATATTTTAACGGAGTGCCAAATTGGCGTATGTTTAATTTTATTTTTGCCTTGATCAATGAGGACTGGCGAGATGATGTCTATCTTTGTTCTCTTAAAGCTTGAAGGTGTGATTTTTAAAAGTTGTCATCAAGGATGAGTATGGTGTCCATGGTGGCATCTTCTCATCTGCCAAATTTCAATCCCTTAGTTTTTGTTGGGAAGGAAAAAGTTGTGGTGATTGTCACGATTTAATGTAAGTTTTTAACTTTAATGTAATTTTCTCTTTTCTCATTCATATTTTCAAGTAAAGCTCAAAATTTCAGGGAAACGTGACTTTCTTAATTAACATGAAATTTTTTCCTAAAACAGGGAGAATACGATTTTTTCTCTGTTTTCTCATATGCTTCACTGCTTTTCCCCCCCAATGGGTTGTGTACATTCTTCGACCTCCGAGGCTTAAAAGCCAAGGAAAGAGGGTAAAAAATGGTTGAGGTCCCCCACTCTTGAAACGGAACTCGTAATTAGATTCCAAATACTATGACAGTGAAGCAATCCACATCAAATGAAGGGAAACGCATGTTGTTAATTGCAGCAGTGAACGTCGTATCGGTCAGTGTCATCATCACCCAATTAATAGCACTGAGGTAAGGGTGCCTACTTTTTATCCAGTTATGTATTGTGAATACCTTACTTTTATTTAGAATTGAAAATAAGGACCGGATTTGAAGGCCTTATTTAAGTAAGGATTTGAGTTTTAAAAATAATTTTTTTAAAAGTAATCGGACTTGAGGCCTTGACCTTGATAAGCCCTATAAAAAAGTGCTCAGGCTCGGATAGCCCTTCAAGTCCTGTTATATTATTATTTTTTTTTTGTGGAACACGTATTTGAAACTAATGACCTACTCACCTGATCCTACACATATTATGTTATTATTAATTTTAATTTATTCTAAAATTAATTTAATATAATTTAATAAATATAAGTGTATAGTATAAAATTCTTGATATTTTTTATTTTTTTATAATTATTATGTTTGTGTATTTATAAAAAAATAATTTTTTTAATCAAGATTTAAATTTTATTATTAGGCTTCTAAATGTGTGTTGTTTAATTTTTAAAAAATTATGAGGATTTTATTTTTTAATTTTAAAATATTTTAATTAATTTATAATATTTAATTTTATTTTCACTTTTTTATTTTTAAAAAAAGGTGCAGGCCTGACCCCGTGAGCCCTTCACATAAGGGTCGGGCTTGAGAAATAAAATTTAAAATAAAAAATTGAATTTTAAAATTTAAATTCTTAAAGGACGAGTCCGCTCGTATTTTCAACTCTACTTCTACCTACCTCGTAAACTGTCTCTAACTCACCAAAAAAGCATCAAGAGAGAATTAAGAGGCTAACCCGATGACACAAATTGTAACGGAGATATTATATGCCTTTTTTGTACGGTGGCATCCAACTTTTGTGCTGCGTAATCACTAAAATATGTAGCAGAAGAAGGACACCATAAAAATCAAAGAGGTGCATTACCCTATATGTCAGCGGCATAAGAGATCGAGAGGGATGAATTTCACTTGAAACATTGTTAGAAGCTTAAGTTTGAAACCAACTTGTCCTGCCAAAGTACTAAATTAATTGAAAAAATGATAGTTAAGTCTAAAAGAAAAAACTAATGATAGTTAGATCCTTGATGAATTTTAAAAAAAAATTGTAAATATCAATTCAAACAGCTATAAATTTAAAGGTTTTAATTATAAATATAATATTTAAATTTTAAATGTAAAAATTAGTTTGCTATTTACTGTTTGAATTGATATTTGTAATGTATTTTATAAAATTTTTTATCAAGAATCTCACTGTCATTAATTTTTTTTTTGGAATTTTATTATTATTTTTCCTAAATTAATTCAGCTGTAAATGCAGCTTTCCGTGCGACTATAAGTGAGCAGCTCCATATCATGACATTGACCAAACAAAATTTATCTTAGTTTAGTTCAATGTGATTCTATAAATAATCCCCAATCATATGCACGAGATGGGATTTTAATCTTTTATGATGATATGGTAATCAAGCAATCTTTTGTAAAGAATCAACAGCAGCACTTCCTAGTTTCTATTAAACGTATCATGTGACATCACAGTTTCTATTTAATGCTGGATGTAATTGAGAACCTGTTGATCTTTCTTTCGAAAAAAACATGTGAGAATAGTTTTTGGGCCCCCTGAGAAACTGCAAATATCCATTAGGTTTCCAAGCATGGACTTGGTTCACGAGGAAACTTCACGCTTAGCATACTCACCTAACTCTGTTTTACGCATTGAAACAGGGCTTAATTATTAACTTGAGCTCTTCCCTTGAGTTTTACTACCAAATTCCATGGCAGCCTAAAAAAGGATCTGGCTTGCCACTAAAGATTTCTATAAGCTCAATATAACCACCGGAATTTGGTTGCTAACCAGATCTATAATCAGCTCCTAGAGATCTAGACGAAGTTACAAGGAACGTGGGATACAAGTTATACCTAGCCTCACGCAACGCACATATTTAGAGCTTCCTCGTTGCGCAATACTAGAAGTGGAATATTTCATGCTTAGAAAATCATTGAACACGGACGGAACTCGGCCAGGTGAAGAGAAATATTTCCAATATTTTCTTATTTTTTACTGCATCCGCTGAATATTTAATACTTTCTCAATTCTTTTTGGACCGTCAAGATAGGGTCACACGCAGCGGTCAGATTGAAAGAGATGCGATGATAACTGCATGAGCCAATGACTTTGACTTCAATTTTGTTTAAAAGAGAATCTTTATCTTGATAAAAAAATGATTTGACAATTTTGAGTTTTTACTTTTTGGCTCTGACACTGTTGTGTGTATGAGTGACGTTCGTGACATGCCTGGCCCTGGCCAGTCTGCCTTTTGTCTTGTGGATAAGTGGATCTTACATTTACATGATGGGCAACAATTTTTTTTTTGGGAGATTGGTAACATACTTTTATTATAGAAGGCAAAGCTAAAAAGTTATCTCCGTTAGGCATGTGTTTGATTTTTAGTTTATATATAATAAAAATATATTTAATGAATTTAACTATTTATTAAATTTGATAAAAATATATTTTAAATATGATTTGAATATGCTTTTGAAGGTAACCCAAACTGATACTAAGGCTTGTTATTGGGATTCTCTAATAAGCTTGTGAAAAAAGAGAGAAACATTTTAGCCCATTAACAATTTTTTTAAGACAAGTATATAAGATTCTCTTCTTTGATCTCATAAGTTGTGTTAGATAAATTCGGTACACTACATTATTTATAATCTATTTAATAAAAATATGATACTTAAATAATTTTAAATATAAATTAATTTTGATATTAATAATAGTAAAAAGAAAAAAGATAAAAAATTAAATAAATATTCTGCTATAAAAATAAAATCATTAAAAATAATGATATATAATATTTTATTTTATTAAATTTATACAATTTTATTGAATGGACTGTGAATGACATGGCACACTGAGTCTATTTAAAAATTTATCATGGATAATAGCATTACAGTCTCAATTGTAACATCATCAAAATTTAAACTTGATTAATTAAGTATGATTATAGCAATTAATTTATTAGTGAAGTATGCGGTCAGAGAGATTTAACGGCCATGTTAAGTTGTAATTTTAGCCTTTAATGCGAGTTCAAAGTAGAGTTGGGTCACTTAGATATGAAAGAGAAAGAAAATTTGAAGGGTGAGGTTTTGTGCCATATGCTGTGACTTATGGATAATTCGTCATGGTGCATGTGAATTAACACGCATGGAAAAAGACTTCTCTGTACCATGCGCCGTAATGCATGACCAAATTTTTACATAAAACAGTCGCAGTTTGTTAGAGAGATCAAAGGAAAAGAAGAGGAGGAAATGAAAGGGGTGCGCTTTCTCTGCTAGGACTTGCTCTTTTGAATGTTTGAAAACATATTGGAGCTAGAAAATATTTAAGGTAAAGTTTTTAAGCTTATTTCTACCCTTCTCTTCCATTTTCTCTAATTGGGAAGTTAGAGTTTGGTTGAGAATAATGATGTTCTATCTATAATAGTTATAAGTCTGAACCGATTGACTCAAAATGGAGTAAATGAAAGTTGATTAAGTTAATGAAACTTTAAGTTTATTCAGCACTTCTAAAAAGAGAGTTCAAAGGTAAATTACTACTAAAGGATATAGTCAGACTTTTATTTATCACTGTGCATAAGCCCCACACATAAATCATGTTAGTAAAAAACAATAAAGGGGTTTGGCTTCTTGGAAAAATAGTTCAAAAATAAAATTACTTTGCTTATTAATACATAATGCTTAGGGCTTCTTGAAAACAAAAAATTCAAGAATAAATATATAACTCGATCCATATTTTAAACCAAGGCTAAATAAAACTGAAAGGGTGAACTGAAAAGTGAAACAAATACGGGTAGTTTCTGAATTGTAAGTTTAAGAAGGAGAGAATCTCGCGAATAAAACGGGCACACTCCAGAGCCTGTTTGTTACAGGTAGTGATCCGCATCAATCCTATCCTGCCAGGTGACGTGATAACCATTCCTTTTTCTCGCACGAGAAGATTTGCTGCTGCCAGCGGTTCTGCAATTTGGTTTCCGAAAAGTGAAAATTGATATTGGCAATCCATGTATGTATCCATATGAAAACCCGGTTGTTCTTGTTCCTCAGCATTGGAGCGCAGAAAATATACCTCGTCAGCCATATTAGAAGTAGAAAATCATGATAAGAGTGGAAGACACTCCACTGTGCAGTTGATGCCGTACACACTCACAGTCTTGTCTTTTAACAAACAACACAATGAGCTCTCGCAAGTGGCGTTTCCAACAATGCACTCAGTGTTTGGCCGCACTCACAGTCCGTTCATTTTTATAACAATCTTGACACCCCTACTAATTGCAGTAAGCATGCATATCTTTCAATAGCTCCAAAGGTATTAATATATATATATACAGTTTCCGGGTCCTGTATTAATTAGCCAGCCCTTGATTTACAGATTTGACATTGTTGTTGTTTGTTACTATTATTACTGCGGTTAACTGCACTGGACTGTGAGTCCAGCTGATTTTGTACATTAACAGGATGATTTTGTAACTTTCACGGATACACTATCTATCACTGATTGGGCATAGAGCTTGGTGGGGACTACACAAAATAAGCAGACACATAAGGGGGATTAAAAAAAAAAAAGGAGTAATTAATTAACAGGTTGTGATGGTCAGTTAAATCCATGATGATGCGAATTGGTGGTGAGTTAATTATTACCAGTTTCTATCAAGTGCTAGTTGACTATGACAAAAGGCGTGGTAAAAGCAAGGACGGGAACTTTGAATACAATTAACCGACACCGTGATGATCTAAAGAGAAAAAAGAAATAAAGAAAGAACTAACTGCCGCCGACAGGGTTAACGGCGGATGCGTTGGCAGCACTAGGAGGCGGGAGGTCGGTCTTTCCCGAAGCGACAAGACGCTGCACAAAGCTATCGATTCTGTGTCCGTTTGTTTCTTTCAGTAACCGCTTCCCGCCAAAGGGCAACGACTCCACACCTTTCTCCTTCAGCAACTCCTCTCCGCTCCCCAAACCCAACGCCTGCGAACCAGCATTCCAACCTCAGAAGCCAATCATCCAAATCAAAACATAATTCGTACTAACTAAGAGGGATTTCAATTCATTTATCTTGTACCTGGAGTCTTACATAGTCCGTCCGGTTCCAACAGAAGGCATTCCCCAGCATTTGGTCAATGGTTTCGGAAACACCCTCCACCACTATCTCAACCATCGACAACATCGAACACAATGTCTCCTCCTTCTCGCACGCCTTTCTTCCTGAACCTCCTATCATCGACGTCCCATTGCCTATGGAGAGGACCAAGAGATCTCCCACGCCCTTCACTGAAGGAAAATCACGCTTGTTGTGTAGCACGTGAGTGACGGCCGCGGCCGTCGGATTGTTCATCACCAGTCCACCGTCGATGGCACGGCAGGAGGTCTTTCCGTCGACGGAGATCAGCTGAAAAGGCTTGAAGAGGCTTGGCGTGGCTGAGGTGGCGCGGCATACTTTCCAGAGCTCGAAGTCGAAGCTAGGCGACTCGGACGCGTCTGCCCATGAGAACACAAACGGGGCTGCACTCTTGAGGTCAAAGCATGGTATCAGGAGGGGCTTGCACGCGTCCTTCAGAGTCAAAAATCGTCCATCCCGTCTGCTCCGGAACACTTCCTTTAGCACCTTGTCCATGCTCTTGGAAGAAAGTCTGCGATGCCAGCGGAAAACTCCGGGGAGTTTAGTTTTGAAGAGCTCGGAATTCCTCTGCGTGATAACATGAACGGCATCTCTGGCAGTATAGAGGGGCCTGCCGGAGCCGTCGTCGGCAGTGATCATGGCTGCGAGAATGGCACCAATGCCGGTTCCAGCAATGATGTCAAAGAAATCGGCGATTTGAGCCTGGGTATCGCGAGTCTGGAGACGGATCTGGTCCTCGAGGCGAACGAGAGCAGCACCGGCAACAACGGCAGTGGTTCCTCCGCCGTCAATGCTGAGAATGCGTGTTTTGGTGGTGGTTTCGCAGCGAGAGAGCCATTTCTGCTCGAGTTTGGAGAAGATCTCCAACGTCACTTTACTGAGTTCCATTGGCTCTTGTGGGCTCTCAGTGGTTGGTGTTGACACCTATGAGCTTCATTCGAGTATTCAAGTTCGGCACTCGCAGCTTGCTTCACGGGACTCGTATGTCTATCCGCTGCACACCATTTAAGAACTTACTTCCCCATGCGTCCTCACTCTTCGCTCCCCTCCGCCTATGTGGTCTTCCAAAAGTCAAACCCGCCCCGTATTACATTAATTACTGCTCACAGACACTACTCTTTTAATAACCGTGATCGTAGTGTGGTTAGATTCGTGAGTTAAGTGGAGGAATGATTCATTTTGCATCCCACCACGAGTTGCATCGAATCCCGCTGCACCATCCCCGCATGCATGCCATGTGTCTCTCTTTCAGTACATGTATGTAAGCTGGCTGCATATAATTAAGGTTTTTTCCCCTTTTGGTGTGATTTTCATCCATCGGCCTTTGTTAGAGCCTCCCACACTACATATGTATGCTGCCCTCGAGAGATGTTTGGGCCTTTGGGGCCTTCGCTTTATGTGTTGACGCTTTTATTCCGTCTTCTTTATTAGCTCTCTAAAGCTTCCAGCATCTGGATACCGCATTTGTTTTTTGAAAGGTAAAACAGCTTAGACATATGTTGACATTGATTACCGTAACCATGATGTAATATAAATAATGGAGGAAAGAGGAAAAACACAGAGAAGGTGGTGGGGGGTGTTATTAGATGGATGGAACTTAGTTTGAGGGGAATCTCTCGTGATACTGCCAACTGATACTACAAATCCCAACTAGCAACGAGGGTGGATGTGAATGTCTGGTTGGAGGGTGATGGAAGGCAACAAAATGCGGACTAGCATATTGCCAACCTCCTACAAATTCATGGATTTTAGTTTGTCTGCGTGTCAGAGATTCCCCCTAAAACGGCAACTTTCTCTTCCTTCCCTCACTTTCTTCTTTTGCTCTCACCCTACTCCCACCCCACTACACACTTGACCTCAATTATTTGCCAAAACATAATATGATACCCAGGCACGTGCCCGAGTTGTCATCCAAGGGCAATTCTTCAACCTCATTGCAGTATTTGATTTATTTAAAACACGTAATGTACATGAAGTTTATTTCCAATAGTCAATAACAAAATTATAGCCTAATCTGTCTAAATAATAATATTAATAAAAACGGGCATCGTAATTTAGCCTGTCCGCGTGAAGGATGCGCGCCGAGAAAAGGTTGCAAGCTACTTCAACCAACGGATCATCCAACGTGAAAACGTATATTTACGTATACATTAAGCTGCTGCACGTGCAAGACCCATTAAACCCCATCATCTCCGTTGACAGAATGCACTCTTTTCTACCCCTTCTTTTAAATTAATGGAACCATGTTTCACGATTGGATTTCTGAATACATGGCTCGTGAAAAGTGTAAAGCACCTTTTCTCAAGACAAAATTAAGTTGCTACGGTGAAAGAAAATCAATACCACTGCATTATCTGTCGCAATTTAGGTACGCTGATTTAAAAAAGTACTGCGCGTCCTGTCTGGGTCTAGGACAGAATGAAGGCGAGACTGAAGCATTTATAGCTCTCTCTCTCTCTCTCTCTGTGGTTTTTTTTTTTTTTTGCCCGAAGCATAACAGACGTCCACGCTGGCGGTCGCTCGCTCCGGGTCAAAAAGCCACATACTGCTTCCAGTTCTTTCGCTCATTACATTCTGACCTTTTCTTTTAAATTACTTGTGTGCTTGTACCCAAAAGTGTTGATCGTGATAAAGAGCATAATTTATGCGTCGATAAGAAATGAGTTTAATAATAACACCATCCGTAAATTATAAAACGAGATTCCTTGTTCACATATAAACCACAAAATACATGGGAAAAGATGTAATGTAATGTAGGAATAAAGAACAAGAAAGAAGACAAAGGGGCTTAGTTAGAGTGGAGAAGGCAGCGTCCATCTGTTAAAATCACAGGGAAGCATTTGATATGAGGTAGAAAATGGAGTATATAATCTGTGTGTGTGTGTGTGTGTGTAGCTGGGCGCGGAATACAGGACAGGACAAAATATGCGGTGTCTGCAATATCCCATATGTCTGTACATGGAGTCAGCATTAACATGTCCCTAACTGTCCATATACATATACAACCATAATTCAATCCCTAACGTGTGCTTCATCACTTTGTGAAATAAAAGCATTTTTTTTCCTTTTGTCTTCTTTTTTTTATTGTCCCGCCATCCTCTCAAAAATGAAAAACGACTCACATATGATTGAGAATTTTAAAATCACGTTATGTTTTTCACGAGTAAGTTGAATAATTAAATAACAAGCTAAGCAGGTGTCTTCTGTATGATAATAATAATAATATTAGTGTTACATTTATGGCTTTTTTTCTAAAATACAAGGCTACAAAAAAATCGAGCAAAGAAAAGCAAAAATTAAGTCACGTCAAATTTTATGAAGGATTTGCAGCTTGAAGGTGAACAATTAAAAATAAAAATATATAAATTATCTTGAAAAGTTTGGGAGCAATCTTTTGTGACAAAATATCTGATTCTCTCAATGGTTTTTGAGAAAAAGGATGATTATTGAGAATACTGTACTAAATAAGTTAGTAGTTGAATGGTAAAGTCCATGCTGCAGAAAAAGGGGAGGGCACATCAAGGGGAAATGCTGGGCGTGGTTGGGGTCTTTCAATGATAGCGCAGCAACAGTAAATAAGATTGTCAGGAGATGTCATGAAAGTGCGTATGCCTCTTTCAATGAACTTACCAACCCCCCCTCCCCAATGCTTCTTCAATCTTCACAGGCAAAAGCTAAAAGCTTCCCTTTCTTTTCTTTTAATTAACTAATAGCATGAACTGAGAGGGAAGAGAAGCGAGCTTTCCAGTTAACTCCCTCGCGCTGAAATGCATGCGCAGCTATCACGTTGATTAATTGATTGAATGTAGAGTTGCAATTATAATTAATATCGCAGAATATATAGCGAAGGAACTCATAAATAATTGAACATATATGGGTGTGGGTGCGTACATACGAAGCAATGAATCAAAGGCGCGCAACGCCCATTTATTAGAAGCAGGGTCTTTTTGAAGGACGGAGAGAGAGCCTAATAAATCACCTAAATTGTTTGAATTCGTAGATAATCATGAATTGATGTGCGTGTCATGTATAGATGACAGTGGGGACTGTGGAGGCCCATACGAGTGTTGCCTAGAAAGAAAGGTTAATTAAAACTGCTTTACCAAAAGTGGAAACAGACTCTCCTTGACACAAGCATCCACGAGAAGCCATTAGGTCGCAACCAAGAAGGAATCACAGAAATTTCGCAGCCTCTTTTTGAACTTTTAGTCCACTGTTCCCAAGCGTGAAAAGAAGGCGAGTTTGTTACTATTTTTTTACCGTCCCTCTCCCCCGCTCTAAACTGTTTGAAAATATTTGAGAGTGGTGAGTGATGGGGTGAGATAAGAAGATCGGAAATAAGACACGTGGGAGTACGGGGATGGAAGAGGTTGCACGAAGCGGAAATCTCGGCTTTAGAGACGCCGGGGGGCGCGTGCTTCCTGTGTTTTACTCAGACTGTGTCGTGCTCATCCACTCTACGAGCTTCATTAAAATTTCTCCCCAACAAACATGGATAACTGGATATGCAGTTATCCCAACAGAAAAACCATGGAATATGGATTCCGTGACCACCAAAGGTTGCAATTATTTTATCTACGTTACCTAAATTCCAAGACTGCGCTTTGCCTTTTTCTTGGGGTGTTAACTTTTGTTGGGACGACATGCGCAACTTAATAGGTTAGACGCGCCTGTCTCTTCCATCACACTCCCATGATGTTGGTTAACCAATGAATAGAACTGTAGAACCCGGGACGTGAAATAGACCATCCCAAGGCCCGTGCTTATTCCATAATGGATTTGATAGGCCCATAATTCTGTCTCAGTCTTCATATCGGACTTCCGTTGAGTAACCAAACAAAACCTTGATAAACACTTCTTTTCAAAGGCCCAAAATTAATGAAAAAGTGAAAAATTGAAAAAAGTAAAATTTATAGATAAAACCCAAAACAAAACATTGATTACTAATGGGCACCTGAGATTGTTTTTATTACTAAAAAACTTGTAAAAAACACAACCGACCGGATGAGTTCTAAATTTTTCACTTTTATTTACAAATATTGGGGGTGGACTTGTAAAAATCTAAAAATATTTTCAATATCTTGTAATTTAAGGTCTAAGCGGAAAAATTTTACAAATCTTCCCCTATATTTGTTATCCTGTGTGTGTGTGTGTTCGCTCAAGTTCAAAAAATACTAGGAATAAATCCATTTCAAGAATGATTAATTATTTTACTTTGAAGTTATATGTGATTTTCCTAAACAATCCTTGGAGTAAGGAGCCCCGGCGCCCGGCGCTGAAAAATGTACTGGACCCAAAGCGGGGGTAAAGATACTCAGCAATGAAAAGACGAGAAATTATTTCTTATCCACATATTATCCTTACACGAACGCGAACATTGAACTGGGTCAATCGTCCAAGCTCGCATGGCAACGTCCTTCTCCTCTGCTACCCTCGTTCGCTCCATCGTCAATCCCCAGCAAAACCCTTCTAAAACCCTCGTGCCCTTCAGAGGTGCGTGCTCTCCTTATACAATAATGGCCACTATCTTCAATTGTTAAAATGACTTGTTTTAAGAAACTCTGCAGAATCCTTTCGCGGAGTCTCGAGCTGCGTAAAGTGCTCCAGGGACTTCTCGTGGAGCTCTGCTGCAAGCTATGCGACTCTGAAGCTCGTTGCTCCCTGTAGATTTTCCAGCAGACTCGTTTTTCCGAGGAGGTCGTTGCGGAGGTGAGCTCATCGTTCTTCTCTACAGTCAGCGAGTAGTGTGATGATATTGGGGCGTGTCGTGTTAACCTATTTCTCTTGATCCTTATATATATATATATATATATATCCAGGACCGGAATTGTGAGGGCGGCGACTATTGAAGAAATAGAAGCTGAGAAGGCCTTCATCGAGAAAGATGTTGTGAGTATCTTCATGAAGATTGATTTTAAAATATACCGTGTGGTTAAATTGTTCGAATTCCATGATAAAGTTTGGTACTTCTATTGCACCGGGATGGTTACACTGACAGTGCCTCTCTGCCATTTGTCTCAGACAAGCCGGATGGAAAGGACTATTGAAACTGTTCGTTCAAATTTCAGTTCCATAAGGACAGGGAGAGCGAACCCAGCTATGCTTGACAAAATAGAGGTACGAATGTGAGAGCTGGCTTGTGGCTCTGCTTATCCTTAAGTACCATCATTTCTAGAAAATGCGTGGAAAACGTTATTAAGGACACCAATGTGGTTAAAAAAGTGTGGACTTCGTGGTTTGATTTTAATGAATCTTGCATTTGTCGATAATCGTACGTTTCTGTTTTCCGTTCTCAAGCTCTTCTGTTCAAGTCAAGCTAGGCCAATCAGAGTTCCCTTACTCTAAGATTTAGTCTTATTGGTCTTAAGCCTATTAAATCTCGCCATCGACTTCATCATCTCCTAAATCCCGTCTTATTATCCGCCTTTTCTTTTCCCACTTTTTTTATACATCAATTACTCCTTCCAGGTTTACTATTTTTTTCTTCTTCTAATTTTTCATCTTATTTTTACTTTGTTCTTTCATGCCACCAACGAAGCTATGTATCTGGCAATTGTCAAAGAAACTATCACTTGCCGTTTGAGTTACATATGCAGCTTGATTTGGCTTACAACACAGAAAACTTTAACTATGCATTGATACATAGGCGAGGCATCAGTATGTGCAATGAATATCTAGCTTTGATTTTGTTTATAGTGTGATCCTGTAAATGACTTGTTTTACTATGCGTTTGTAGGTGGAATATTATGGAACTCCAGTTAGCTTGAAGAGCATTGCTCAAATTAGCACTCCAGATGCCAGCTCTCTTTTGGTACAGCCATATGACAAATCAAGGTGAGTTACAGTTGCAAACTAGAGGAGGTGGAAGAAATTGGAATCATCAAAATGATCTTATCCATGTTTTTTGGATGCTACTTAATACGCAGCATGCTGTTGTCTTTAGCCTAATTCCTTCCATCTTTTTGTTGTGTGAGTCCCATGTATAGCATATTACTACCATTGTCTACAAATCTTTATGAGGACTTTTTCTGCCAAAAGATATAAAATACTGTGGCAGAATGTGTATATATGGTATCTTTATCTTGCAGTACATAATTTTTTTTTTGGGGAACAAAATCTCGGTTATTCATATTTCCTTTAAAATGTTTTTTCAGCTTGAAGGCTATTGAGAAAGCCATAGTCAACTCTGATGTGGGCATGACTCCAAATAATGATGGAGAATTGATAAGATTGAGTATTCCACCATTGACATCAGAAAGAAGGAAGGTATTTTCTCATTCCTTGAGTCTGTTTTATGCATAATTGATTAGCGTTTCTGATTTAGTTGGGAAAAAAATGCTATACAATCCCCTCTTAGCTAGCCAAGATACAAAAGAGTTCTCTAAGAAAAAGTTTACTTGATATTCGGTTGTTTAATTCACCTGATTATTCTGTTTACAAGATGAGTGTGTCTTCTAACTGTACTATTCTTTGCTCAGACGCCAAGTTTCTCCTGGAAGTATGAATGAATCTGTGGATATTATCTGAGGAACTTAAACTCCTATCTAATGATTGGTGGTTTACTTTCCAGGAATTATCAAAAATAGTGGCTAAACAAGCTGAAGAAGGGAAGGTACATTTGTAACAATACCTACACTTTGACTTAGTAATTTGCTCTTGTTTTTTTGGCCGATTTGGGATGAATCTTGTGACTTTTTTACGGGTTCAGAGGGAATTAACATAAGCCAAGTTTTTGAATTGGAAATATGGGGTTTTTTTTTTTAATGCAATTTCTTCTCCTATTCTTGCCGAAAATTATAGCTGGATGAATATTGGATTTGCAATCTCAAAGAACTGAATTGGAGATTTATATTGTTGTAGTGTTTTCTCTACAGTTTGTTTGCAGGACAAACGTTTTGGCTAAATTTTAGTGATACATAACTTCCATTTGAGTGATTGAGCTTGATCTTGTTTGTAGGTGGCTCTGAGGAATATAAGAAGAGATGCATTGAAAGCTTATGAAAAACTTGAGAAGGTTTAAATTTCCTCTCCTTTCTTATCACTCGTCACTAATTGTTTCCTTGCCTTTGGTTTCCTTTTTTCCAATGAGATTCTTTAACCATTTTGTCTGAATTTTTCTTACAGGAGAAAAAGCTCTCAGGAGATAATGTGAAGGACTTGACAAATGATCTGCAGGTAACCTGATCCTCTACATTGTCAAATAGGAAGGGTACTAAGTTCTAGCTTATCTAAACTTTGTATTGCCATGTCTCTTTTTACATTGGTCTGGGCATTTCTTTGCGATATAACTTGGGATAATCTCAAACCTACTTTGGGATGCAATGAACTATGCGACATAAGGAACATGCTTTGTTCCTAGAAGTGAGAGCATAGTGTAGCCAACCAACATAATTTTTTGCATTTTAGCCAAACAAATGAGAGAAAAGAACAAAATAACTATATTTTCCTTATAGATATGTCAGATCCATTTACTGAAATGTCCTTTTGCAAACTTCTTTTTATAAAAAATATGATGGTAAAAAAAAAAAAACAAAGATCTGGAGAAAATGATGTTGAAGCATTTTCAGTGTCTTGAGTTCTTGACTGCATATGGATCTAAGAAAGGGTCTTGTGTTTTGGTGTTGTGGATACTTGTGATTTTTGTTTATCTTATATCTCGAGCATGTTCTTCCCCCAATATTGATTCCATGGGGATTGGGGATTGCCCATTTCTACGTATAGTCCATCTCACTTTTTATCCATTTCTGAGAGATAAAAGCAGTAATAAGAAAAGAGAAAATTCTCTTTCAAGAAGTAAAAGCTTACTAACTTAATTACGAGTTTGTGTCACTAGTTTGATCAATATAAATACCAAATCTTGTAATTGGACTCGGTAAGCACTTGGTTGAGTAAGTTGGGTTCCTTGTATATATTTGACATTGATCATTCTAGATGATACATGGGAATTGGGAATAATAGGAGTAATTAGGGGAATTAGGAATATAAGGGTAGTTTGGGTATTTAAATATATTATCTATGAATAGGTCTCTAGGTTGTAATGGGAAATTATGAATGGAATTAATCTCTCTATTTCTCTCTGTTCTCCTTTCTCTCTCCCTCTTTCTCTTCTACCTCTATCAAAGGTATCAGAGCCTCCTCTCTGGCCATGGCTTTGCCGGAGAGCCGATCCAATGAATGCTTTGGTGTTCTCGAATATTATTTGGAGATGCAATCAGCTTGGCTTCAACGCAACCAGCAGATATTACACCAACAGACTCATGACTTCAGTGAGATCAAGCAAACCATGTCTCACATTTCTTAACAAATGCATGAAATGTTGGCTAAGCTTTCGATGCTTACCGAGCAGCGCTTGCACTCTCCTGTGGTCACTATGGGTGAATCGTTTAACACGCTGAACCATGTTTCAACTGAGCTCGAGTTCAACCACCAACAACAGAACAGTAACATAGACGCAGAAACAATGGGGGAGTTGAATGATATTGCGGAAGATGAAGAAAAACTTGAGCATGACGTCAAGATTGAAGCAAATCAAGAGCGGAGGACTACAGAAGTGACACAGAATGAAGTTGCTAGCCTGACTATAGATGAAGAGGAAGTCGATAGAATGCTCACAACCTTGAAGCTCGACAAGAACCTTGATAGTGATGACGATGGCTCACAAAATTTTCCAGACATTCCCACTTCAATAGCTTGTCCTCATGTCACTAGTACGACAGCGTTGTTAAAATCGACACGTCCATATTGGAGCCCAGCTGCTATAAGGTCAGCGATGATGTTGATCGCAACTTTACTGGATGATAGATACCGACTTGCGGTCTACAAAGGTAGTGAGAAAGCTTTCGTCTTGTATGACTTTGGTGCCGGACATCTCAACCTGGGTCAGATTATAGAGATGAATGGTTCGCAGTCGAATTGCTTGGCTCGAAAGCTATTAGTGGAGAATCTAAACTACCCATATTTTGTGGCTCTGTTCCTACGCTCATCGGAAGGGGTAACCAGAAAGACGTTCCTCAAAACAGTGAGGAACTTTGGTTCGGCAAACTTGACTTATCGAGCATAAGTGGAGTCGCGGCCGCAGGGGGTTGTGGTGAGTATGAGGCCGTCGCAGCTGATGTTTTTAGGGACAATGAGGAAGTAGAGCTATGCGGTGATGGTGATAGATGCAGTGACGGTGATAGCAGATGGCCGAAAGCTTGGGTCGAGTAGGGTTACTAAAGAAATCGGATTGAGTGAAGAGAGAGTGGGTCTCGGGTTTTTGTTGAAGTTTATTCGATTTTTTCCAGCGATCAGAATGCGTATTCGTGATTGCAAGTGTTTGCTTCACGTATTTACCCATAATTTCTAGAGGCACCACAAGCGTGAGCCACTTGTCAATCAGCTAAAACCCATTGGAAATGGATTTGATAAAAGTGTTGTTAGACCTTGCTTGCACATGTTTTGGGCTTCTCTTGTGTCCTTGGCCCAAAAGCCTTTTGAAAAGGGAATAATGCCAAATGGGTTTAATTACAATGATGTTAGACATTATGTTGATGAAGTTTGGGCTTCTCAAAAAGCTTTTGGTTGGAATTGGGTCTTGAAAATGGAGCTAAGGGATGTTCTTAAGCTTCAACAATGGGCTTATCACAAGTTTATGTGGCTTGCCATGATGGGCTTCTGGATTAACAGAGCACTACAACATGTTTGGGCTTTTGATGTCCATTAATTTTGTTCTCAAAGTATTTTAGTTTTAGCAACTTAAGGCCAACAAAATATATATATATATATATAGCTAAGTATTATTTTAGATATGTAGTTTCCTGCTTTTGTACTGATCCTTGAGGACAAGGATCTCTTGTTGGGGGGAGTATTGATACATGGGAATTGGGAATAATAGGGGTAATTAGGGGAATTAGGAATATAAGGGTAGTTTGGGTATTTAGATATATTCTCTATAAATAGGTCTCTAGGTTGTAATGGGAAATTATGAATGGAATTAATCTCTCTGTTTCTCTCTATTCTCCTCTCTCTCTCCCTCTTTCTCTTCTACCTCTATCACTAGATGTCACGAATCTTCCAAACATTTATGGGACCCAAGGACACATGTGTTGGGATCATTCAAGAGTGGTAGTGCATCTGCTGTTCTATATCATGTTGTTAGAAATACCACGAAGGTAGAACTGGAAGAGAAATATAGAAATACTCTGTCCAGAGAGGGAAGAGAATAATCACAGGGGAAGGGGAAGAAATGCATCAGAGGGAAAGAGACTCATCAAAATCATCAACACCCTACTCATTCTACTCTCCTCATATATAGCTTTGTGTTCACGTTTAGCATTCTCTTTCCTTTCTGTTATTTCTAACAGCATGATATAGAGCAGCAGATGCACCGCCACTCTTAAATGATCCCAATACACGTGTCCTTCTTGGGTCCCATAAATATTCAGAAGATTCGTGACCGGTAACAGGGAAACCCTAATTTGTTTGAAACTGTGAATATTGCCTTTCATTTGTTCTCATTTTAATTATTTTATCTCTATGTAGAAGTTGACAGATGGGTATATGAAGAAGATTGACAGTGTCTACAAACAGAAAGAAAAGGTATCATATGTTTTACACCGAACTTGTACTCAAAGCATGCACAAAGCCCCATGTCTAAAAACTATTTAATAATTGGTATCTATAAGGAAAAGCTGCAAGGATCTCAGTATACTTGAACTTGTAGATTCATTGGGTGTCCCTTGACTCTGGACAGGCTTTGTTTACCTTTCTGTAGTCATACTTGAAGAACGAGACAGCGTTGGTTTATGTTTTCTATCCTTATCAAGTGATATTTTCTTCTCGTCTTTCAGGAGTTGCTAACCGTTTGATGCTCGTAGACTTAAATGTAAATGTTTCGTCTCTAATGAAGGCCAAATTTTGTCTACTCTTTGTTCGGAGTTGGATGTTCGGGGCGTAACGCTTGTGTTACGCAAGACAGCTTTGAATGAGCATTATGCTTTTTTTATTTTCCCAAAAAAAAAAAACAGAGAGAGAAGGTGAATTCATGCGTATATCTAGGTTGCTATGCCTGTATGTACCTTGTCAATTGTTACACAGACCCTTCGTTTGTACTTGGGATTCTTTTATTCCATGGATCTACTGGAAATCTGAAGTGCTGTATAGCTAAGCATGCACATTGTACTTCTGCTTGTAGTAGCATCTTTGTTCATCCTCCTCCTTGGTTGTGGAGAATGGAGGACGAAGAAAGAAGCAAGGCCTGGTGTAAGAATGTCGCTGTAATCTTTTGCTTTTAATGAATCGCTTTTATACAAAAAGAAGAGAGAAATCTGAAGTGCGGATATAGCCATGGAGGCCATTGTAAATGTCCCGGGTGTTCCCTTGAGTAGGCAAAGAGGACACGTGTAAATAAAGTGTAGAGAATAACTACGTAATACTCTTCTCTTACTGACAAACATTAACATGTAACTGAAAGGTGTATCTATAATTACCGTCCTCAAGTAGTTACACGACGGTTATGATATTGTTGAGACCCTCATCTCATCCTCCCAATGATTGGAATAATCTCTTCCATAGGTTTGGAATTAATTCAGAAAAAAGGTATTGTATGTGTTTGCAACAGCATTTTTCAAAAGCCATAGTTAATTGAAGGGTTAAAGTTAAAAAATGTTCTTGAAGTGTACACAAAAAGTAACAAATAATTATAAAGTTAATTATAAATTATTTATATTCTTTAACCTAAAAAATTATTTACTCCGTTATCCTGTTGGTTTTTACATCCTATTATTCATTAGCAAGGCTACATAAAATTTTTAAATATCTTTTAATAATAAAATATAATAGTTGGACCTACTTCATATATTTTTACCATATTTTTTCACCTCACTCCTCTCTCTAGTCTACGATCTCCTCCCTCCCTTCACCCCTCTATCTCGTCTCCTTCTCTTTCCCCTCTCTTCCCCCGCTCTCTTCTTCATTTCTGCCACAGCTACCACTCTCTCAAGCTTCCTCAAGACCTCTTGTAGCACTTGATAACTCTGCTAAATCATCAGGCTGACCAAGAAGCTTCAAGACTGGTGACGCAAACAGAAAAAGGCAAGAGCAGAACACAACGCATGAAAAGAACAATCCATGAACGTTGAAGGTAAATCCCCATCATGTAGTACTCCTTGGCTCCAAAAGCTTGCCCACACAGTGTTTCTAAGGCGGTAGCCACACCCAACTTATCAAACACATACCATATATTTTATATTAAATTAACAACAAAGAAGCATGGAAAGTATGGAAAAAATGATGCCAGTACGTTTAAGGCTTTAAGCTTTGCCTCTCCCTCAACCGATCTATCCCTCCTCTCTCTCCCTCTCCCTGTCTCTCTCTCTCCATCCTCTCTCCCTCCCTCCCTCCTCTTTCTGCACATGAATGACAAGTCAAGAACAGTACCGGTTCTGCACATCCTTAGTTGTTGAGCTCGCATCCTTGGTGAAGATGGCTCCGAGGTAGGAAGGAGAAGACAAAATGGAGGGAATTGAGGAGGAGCATGATGACGCGGTCAGGTCCGACGCCGAGGTTGTTGAGACTGGAGGCGACTTTTCTAGAAAAAAAGTTCGACGTCGGCGTTGGTGAACATCTCGCCAGTGGTGTTGTTGATCAAACAAGGACGGTGGCTCGAATAGGCACGCACGATCGTTGCGACTGGATGAGCTCCCTATTTCGTTAAGTAACAGTCGCTCGTGCTAACATGGTTTGATCATGCCTTGAACTACACCGATGACAGAAGGCTTGTGGAAGAAGAGATTAGGATGACCCAGGTGAGGAGGCTGGTGGCAATGCATGCATGCGTGTTCAACCAGATGATGGAAGAAGAGAAGGAATTTTTATATTACAAAAAAATATTGGTGAAACCCACTATATCATATTTTATAATAAAAAATATTAAAAAATTTAAATGTGTACAGGGTAACTAAGCAAAAAAATTTTGAAATTAAAAGATAATGATTCATAGTTAATTTTAGGGTCATTTGTGACCTTTCATATATATTTTAAGAGCATTTTTGACTTTTAATCCTTCATTAAAAGAAGATAATAAATCAAGATGGAAGTATCCAGTGATCTTGGCAAGTTTAGAGATTTCAGGCATGCGTGCACATAGTTGACAATGTGGGTAAAAAATTATTTTATTTTTATTGATAAGTTGTAATTTCTTATTCAATTCTTATAATTCTTTAAATAAAAGTTGTTACTCTTTAAGTAAAAGTGTGATTGGGGTCTGTTATTTTAAAAATTTATTTTTCAATTATAAAAATTATATTTGATAAGTTTTGATTTATTGTTCAATTTTCATGATTCACAAAACAAAATTGTTATTCTTTAAGCAAAAATTATGACTAGTGTTTGTTTTTAATAACAGGAGTTACATTTGACAAGTTGTAATTTCTTATTCAATTTTTGTGATTCACAAAATAAAAGTTATTATTCCTTAAGCAAAAATTTTGAGTGAAGCTTCTTATTTTCAATAAAAGTAAAATAGCCTTTTCACTTTCAAATTTATTAATATAAAAGTTTTTAAAGACTTTAATAAAAATTATAATTATAATACTTTAAAAGATTAAATTATTATTTATATAATTAAAAAATTATTTTCATATTATTTTCTCATAAAACAAAGTCAGTATATTGTGGGATAGTCTTTCTATTGTAACGGGTCATCAAGGCAATCCTTGTAGATGAGCGCAAATGGCAGAGAGAATTACGTTGGCTCTGGCTGGTAGGATCATGTCACGAGGAGATTTTGTTTCGTTCGATCCTTAGTAATTGTGTTGACGATTAATATACCCCGCACGCACGAGTCGACAAGAGGAGGGGCGACTGGAAGAGAGATTAAAGGAGGGTTGATCGTCACGTTTCCCCGTGTAGCCCTGCATGTGCACGCTTTTTTCCTCAACTGATCTTTTAATTTTGATGATAAGGACATAGAACAGCCGTTTAATATTCTCAAAATCAATGTAAAATTGTTTACTAGTATCTTATTATACTACTCTCTCTTCTATTTTAGAAAACATTTTTAAAAATGATTTGGTTTCTCATAACATAAAATATCTTTTAAAAAGTAAAAGTTCAATTAATGATGGTCATAATGTCATATAAATATCACTCCATCATTATTTCGCTCATTAAATGTATCCTTTTCTCCCTCTTTCTTATTAGTGAAATATATTTTTAGTTCATAAAAAATTAAAATTTTAAACTGTATTTTATTCAATAGTTGGTTTAGTCTGTATCCATAATTTTACTAAAATTGTCTTATATAATGGAGCAAAGAGTGTGTTATATCACTCACTTTGTTTAAAAATATAAGATATTTTTAATCAAATTTAATCTCTTAATAAAATAATTACTTATTTTGAAACTAATGCCATCTTTAATTTTTATATTTACTTCTATTTAATAGAATATTTCATTCTAAAATAAATATTATGAGTTATTCATTAGGGGCATTTAAAAAAATAACAATAGTTACATTTTGAAATAATACAAATGTCTTAATTTTTTTAATGGGGAGAGTATTACTTTCTCTTGTTCTTATTATAAGACATGTTCTTCTAGAATAACTCTTTTATCCTTGACATAAATCACATATAGAGTTATTAGTTTATATTTTAAAATTTCACCTGGTTACAAATAACTAAAAAAGAATTTACTTTTAATTTAATATTTTCGTATGGCTCTTGCCTCTCTTTGTCCTTTACTCCAAAAATTTCATCTTCCATGAGAAAAAGAATGCAGCATATTCAATCAGTTTTTTTTTTAAAAAAAATCATATTCTTTAATAGAAATAATGCTGGAATACTTGTTAATTTTAAAACAGATTTAATAAATAAACTGTCTATAATTTTAGGTAAAGCAGTTGAACTTGAAAGTGACTTGGAAGTTGTAACGCTGAGTGAAATGAGTATCAAATTATCAATAGTAAAAGAAACCACAACCGACAAATAGATCATATATACCAGTTGACCGCTTATCACATTTCCATGTGTCATCAATAAGGGGTGAGCAGACAACTCACCCAACCCACCCGTTCTCGGATGAAATGGGCAGGCTAGAACCCTCCCGTTTGAGAGAAAAAAAGGGCTGGTTGATTTTACGAGCGATCTTGCATTCAGTTTATGCGGGCGCATGGGCGGCGTTATATATAATTTAAGGGGGGCAAATCCACCCCTTGATTTTAAAAAAAATTATAAGAAAAGGTTTTATATTTCATTATTTTTTATCTATTTATTTAAATATTTTGCATCCCTTAACATAACTTTAAAGATATTTGAAATTCAAAAAAAAAATTAATATATTCAATTGAAGCTTAAAAAAAAAATGTTGCATCCCTTAATCTAAGATCTTAACACTACCATTGCACGGACGAGATGGGCCATGAGTTATCTCTCCGGCAGCCTGTCCCGTCCGTGTATTTGATATGTGTATATATATAAAAGCAATAGCATGAAACGCCGCATATCAAAGAAAATGAAAACCCTTGTTGTCGAATCACTATCGCTCTCGCATTCTCCCATGAGCCATCATCAGTCATTGTCTCATCTCATCGTCATCGCCTACTCTCTTAGGTTTGTCCCTTGTTCCTCTCGTCTCTTCGAAGCTTCCCTCATTCGAATCGGTCTTCGTCTCTCTGATGCTTCGATTCTCTTGTCTCGTCTCCCTCATCTCTCAAACTTATGGGTCTAAACTCCGTAGTTGCTACCGGGTCTAAACTTTGAAGCTGCTCGCCTGGTGCTTCTGCTCTTTGGCTTACCTAAGCTCCCTGCTCACCTGCTCTCATTCCCTTATCAGTCTGAATTGGGATTTATTAGGATCACAGCAAAATATTAGTCTTTTTTTTTCTTGAAAAAAAAAACTAGAGATTTATGAAAACGGGATCTAGCCATTTTTAAGTTGTATGGGCTAGCGTGTCTAGTTTTGGAACAAGCCAACAAGGGCTACTCACAAGGAACAGGCTGGCCTAAGTCGTTTTGTCCAAAATAGGATGAGCTACAAGCAACATCTTGAGTTAGTCCGTTCCGCCCGTTGCTCAACCCTAGTCATCATGCATGGTTTTTTTCCAATTCAACTTTAATATTAATCAGTAATTGTTGTCACCATACTTTTTAGATTAGTCAAATATGC